ATATAGGGGGGGGGAGGGGCTGCGCCCCCACCTAGGGTTCCCTCCCTAGGGGTGGTGGCAGCCCCCAGATCCCATCTGGGTGGCGGCCACGTGGAGGGGAGAGGGAGGCGCACCAGGCATGGGCCCTAAGGCCCATCTGCCCTTAGGGTTTGCCCCCCCCCTCCTCCCCTTAGGTGCCTTGGGCCCTTGTGGGGGTGCACCAGCCCTCCTGGGGCTGGTCCCCTCCCACACTTGGCCCATGCAGCCCTCCGAGGCCGGTGGCCCCACTTGGTGGACCCCCGGGACCCTCCTGGTGGTCCTGGTACGTTACCGATAAAACCCGAAACTTTTCCGGTGACCAAAACAGGACTTCCCATATATAAATCTTTACCTCCGGACCATTCCGGAACTCCTCGTGACGCCCGGGATCTCATCCGGGACTCCGAACAACATTCAGTAACTACATACATACTTCCTTTATAACCCTAGCGTCATCGAACCTTAAGTGTGTAGACCCTACGGGTTCGGGAACCATGCAGACATGACCGAGACATTCTCCGGTCAATAACCAACAGCGGGATCTGGATACCCATGTTGGCTCCCACATGCTCCACGATGATCTCATCGGATGAACCACGATGTCAAAGGACTTAATCAATCCCGTATACAATTCCCTTTGTCTATCGGTACGATACTTGCCCGAGATTCGATCGTCCGTATCCCGATACCTTGTTCAATCTCGTTACCGACAAGTCTCTTTACTCATTCCGTAACACATCATCCCGTGATTAACTCCTTGATCACATTGTGCACATTATGATGATGTCCTACCAAGTGGGCCCAGAGATACATCTCCGTTTACACGGAGTGACAAATCCCAGTCTCGATTCGTGCCAACCCAACAAACACTTTTGGAGATACCTGTAGTGTACCTTTATAGCCACCCGGTTACGTTGTGACGTTTGGCACACCCAAAGCACTCCTACGGTATCCGGGAGTTGCACAATCTCATGGTCTAAGGAAATGATACTTGACATTAGAAAAGCTTTAGCATACGAACTACATGATCTATTGCTAGGCTTAGGATTGGGTCTTGTCCATCACATCATTCTCCTAATGATGTGATCCCGTTATCAATGACATCCAATGTCCATGGTCATTAAATCGTAACCATCTATTGATCAACAAGCTAGTCAACTAGAGGCTTACTAGGGACATGGTGTTGTCTATGTATCCACACATGTATCTGAGTTTCCCATCAATACAATTCTAGCATGGATAATAAACGATTATCATGAACAAGGAAATATAATAATAATCAATTTATTATTTGCTCTAGGGCATATTTCCAACAGGGGGCGGACCCTGGGGGTAGGGTGCGCCCCCTACCTCGTGGGCCCCCTGGTGGCCCTCCGGTGGCCATCTTCTGCTATATGAAGTCTTTCGATGGAAAAAAAAGAAGCCATCTTCTCGGACGAAACTCCGCCGTCACGAGGCGGAACCTTGGCGGAACCAATCTAGGGCTCTGGCGGAGGTGTTCTGCCGGGGAAACTTCCCTCCCGGAGGAGGAAATCATCGACATCGTCATCACCAACGCTCCTCTCATCGGGAGAGGGCAATCTCCATCAGCATCTTCATCAGCACCATCTTCTCTCAAAACCCTAGTTCATCTCTTATATCCAATTCTTGTCTCCAAGTCCGGGATTGGTGCTAGTAGATTGATAGTAGTGTTAATTACTCCTTGTAGTTGATGCTAGTTGGTTTAATTGGTGGAAGATCATATGTTCATATCCTATACGCATATTAATACCCCTCTGATTATGAACATGTTTATGCTTTGTGATTAGTTACTTTTGTTCCTGAGGACATGGGAGAAGTCTTGCTATTAGTAGTCATGTGAATTTGGTATTCGTTCGATATTTTGATGAGATGTATGTTGTCTCTCCTCTAGTGGTGTTATGTGAACGTCGACTACATGACTCTTCACCATTGTTTGGGCCTAGAGGAAGGCATTGGGGAGTAATAAGTAGATAATGGGTTGCTAGAGTGACAGAAGCTTAAACCCTAGTTTATGCGTTTCTTCGTAAGGGGCTGATTTGGATCCATATGTTTCATGCTATGGTTAGGTTTACCTTAATACTTTTGTTGTAGTTGCGGATGCTTGCAATAGAGGTTAATCATAAGCGGGATGCTTGTCCAAGTAAGGGCAGTACCCAAGCACCGGTCCACCCACATACCAAATTATCAAAGTACCGAACGCGAATCATATGAGCGTGATGAAAACTAGCTTGACGATATTCCCATGTGTCCTCGGGAGCGCTTTTCTCTATATAAGAGTTTGTCCAGGCTTGTCCTTTGCTACAAAAAGGATTGGGCCACCTTGCTGCACTTTATTTACTTTTGTTACTTGTTGCTCGTTACAAATTATCCTATCACAAAACTATCTGTTACCACTTATTTCAGTACTTGCAGAGAATACCTTGCTGGAAACCGCTTATCATTTCCTTCTGCTCCTCATTGGGTTCGACACTCTTACTTATCGAAAGGACTACGATAGATCCCCTATACTTGTGGGTCCTCACGTAGCTGTAAGCATGCGTGGCTGGTGGAGGATCTTGGTCGACGGAGGAGGTGGAGCTGTGGTTGTCGACATCGCCGTCATCAGATCGGAGTCGGAGAGGCTGACCAGCCCATTCATCCGGCGGATTGCCCTGTCTTGCTACCGCTTCAACTTCGCGAGCCGAGCCACCTCCGCCGCTACCTCCTTCGCCTCGCGCTCCGCCTGCTCTATGGCAAGCCGGAGCGCCTTCGCGTTCTTTCGCCATAGGTGGCGAGCGTCCGTCTCCACCGTCGTGAGCGGCCGGCGATAGATCCAAGCGAGGAGCCGCTCGTCCTCGTCGGGCTCGCTCAACATCTCGCGGCGGCAGCGCACGGACTGCTCCCCCGCGTGCCTCTCTCTTGCTTGTTGCCTCTCGCAGCGGGCGGCATGCGCCTCCGATTCCGTAGTGCGCGTGCGGGCAGGCGGCACAGGCACTAGCACCCACCGCTGCTCCAAGTTAACAGGGGCAGACGCTGCGCTCTTAGATTTGACGAGAATTGTATGAAAATGTTCTGTTATGCAAGTTTCGGGACCACTTTTATGGGTTTTTCTAGTTCTTGTATGAATCGGTTCTCGCTAGGACAAGTTTATGTACTAAAACTGGTATTAACTCGCAATTCTAGTGAAAACAGCGTCAGTCTGGGTTAGTTTCATTCAAATCATGCAAATTAGAGTCCAAAACAAGAGCAAACGTGTTTGGAAAAGCAGATACGACGAAGACATATCAGTAATTCTCCTTTATATACCCAAATTTGGGATTTATATTGCATAGTATGAGAAGAATGAAACCATTGCAGAAACTTAGAATGGGCTAAACCTCAAAGTTTCTTTTAGGAGGAACTTTGATGAAGAGCTTACGTTGCAATGGTTTGAATTAGAGGGCATTGCCAGATTTTTTTTTTCTGAACAGGGAGATAACCTGGTCTGGCAATGTGAATCTAATGGTATCTACTGTACAAAATTCCTATATGGTATTGCTAATTTTAGGGGTGTGCAGCCTATTAACCTCCACACAGTATGGGAAATAAAAATTCCTCCTACAATACATGGTTTTTATGTCCGTTCTCTCAAAATAAGATAATGACTTGTGATAACTTGAGGAAGAGAGGCATGCCCAAACAATTAGAATGTATACATTGTACTAAGATTGATTCTGTACACCACCTGATTTTTGATTGTGTGGTAGCTAGACTTATCTAGAGAGAAGTTGAGATAATTCTTAATAAGAATTTTGAATCTTTCCTTGAGCTGGTTGTGTAACAAGAGATTCCTACATCTAAACATAGTTGCCTCTGTTGTCCTGTGGGGAAAATGGAATACTAGGAACTATCTTGTGTTTAATACAGCTAAATGGATTTCTGTCAAGCAGGTGTAGCAGAAAATAATCCAGTACCTGGGGGAATGGGCAAAGCCTCAGAAGGAACTGCTAGGCGTCCAGATGGCACAATTCAGAGACCACTTACTGGTGAAGCTAAGGTCACCTCAGGAGCTGGAACCAGACTGATATGTCAGGAAACACAGTGTCATCTATCTTGGGCAAAAAGGATTCAAGGTGTTGCGCATGGGGGCCGAGCCATATTGGAGGAGTTGAAGATCAACCCAAAGATAGCAGATGAGATCCATGTGATCTTTCCGCCCATGACCTGATGATGTTTGAGCCTTGAGCTTCTTGGCTTTGTTTCTCTGTTTTGGACATGTAATTTTGGCAAACCACGAAGATTGTGTTATGGTGGCTGCCCCTTTTTTTGTGTCCTTTGTGACACTCAGAACCTGACGTACAGTCCAGATGTTTGTGTGTGTTTTGGTTTCATTTCTATGAAATGGAGCTGGGGAGCTCCCCTTTTGATGAAAAAACCTTCAACACAAATTAAAAATAAGTAAGGGACAGAGGATCCCCTTGTATGAGCCCCATTGTAGGGGTAAAAAAAACTCCGTTTCATCTTAATGAAACCAAACTCTGTAATTAACTGAAGTAACACAAGCCATGATCATTTGCACCCACGTGCTGTCAAAGCCCAACTTAATCATTGTATCACCGAAAAAATTTATTCCACACGATCAAGACACACAAGCCACTGTTCCCTTGCCTTTTTTTTTATCGTCCCTTGCCTCTTTTTCATGATCATGTGTAAACACTTCTAAGGCATTAACACATTAACAGTAATGAGTCTTCTAGGCACAAAAGCACTGTGGGTCAAAGAGATAATACGTAGTAGTAACATTTTCACCCAGCATTTATAGTTTCTTAATCGAAGGAGACACAAGCATATAAAAATATAGTTGTTGTTACTGACACATGAGAAGACGGCGCACGATACATCAAAACGAACTGTGATACTAAATCGAACGGTCCCTGATTATGACACGCACATCACACACTAATTAACTGACTAACAAATTACGTAACCTACTTAGGCTTTGCTCAGATAAAGCAGGCCAGGACCAATGTCACAGCTTGTGCCATGGCGCGAGCGAGGGACGCCACGAATGGCCCGCCCGCGGCGGATGAATACTCCATCGACGGGGCCGGACCTGGCGCCGGAGAGAACGGCGATGACGACGGCGGTCGTGAAGACGACGGTGCCGTGGGGGCCTGTGCCGGCGATGATGCTGATGCCGGCGCCGGCGGGGAGGAAGCGCGGACGTTAATTACCAGCCTCTCGCCGGCGTTGCAGTGTCCGAGGTCGGCGCTGGCGAAGTAGGCGAAGCCTGGCGCGTCGAGGAGGAAGAGCGTGCTGCCGTCCCTCGGCACGGCGCCGGTGCCGATGCCCGCCGTCTCGTTGCAATGATAGTATCCGGCCTTGCTCACCTTGATCACCGAGTCGTTCTTGTACACGAACTCTGCATGCATGTCCATTTGCATTCACAACACAAGGATTAAGCTGATTTGGTCTCCATCTGGCAAATCAGTGGATCAAACGCTCGCGTGCACCTAATCAACTGCTACTTACCGATGGAGTCCTCGACGAAGAAGGTTATGGGGGCCGCCCACTTGACGTAGAACATCTCCTTGTCCTGCGGCGGGGGCACGCGCCACCCTTCAGGGCCGCCGACCCTGTACCGCTTCCCCAGCGGCACCGCGGACGCCGTCGGGCAGAGGACGACGAGCACGACGGCGAGCGCCGAGAGACGGATCACCAGAGACGCCGCCGCCGCCGCCATATCGATCGTATCAACTGATGATCTCCGAAGAAGAGGAAGTGGTGTGTGTGTGTACTGTGTCCTACCGGTGTGTGTGTGTACTGATAGGATGACTGGAAATTTATAGGGGTACTACGTTGATCGAGTAGTGCCGATCGATCAAGAAGTGGTAAAACTGATAGGGTCGATCGAGGAGGGAGCGTGCATGCCTGGCGAACTCAACCGATTGCCCATTGGCGGTTAGGTCAACTCGGCGTTGCTCGCGCGCGGACGCGGAGGTGGAGAACGTGGCGTTGGACTCTCACCAGGCAGTTACTGCATCTGCATGCATCCATAGGCTTCTGACCGACGGCGGCATTACGGACAGTCGTACAGACCAAGAATTGAATGGCCGCACCGCCAACGTTTTTGGAGAATCTTTCTTGGAGTCCAGGTGTTCAGGTCGATACTGATATTTCTTTCGCAAAGAATAAAAATACTTTTTTTGCGGGTAAAAAATATACTGATATTTGAATATTTGATGTTGCATCGTGCTAACCATCGGCGGTGGTGGCTTGATACTTGATATTATCATGATGATGTTGATATCTTTTCCATGATTTTTGTGTGTCCTCTGTGTTTTCTTTTATGATAGTAATGAAGTAGTCCGCACAACAAAATTTTATGGTTATGCCACCCCGGGTGACGCCGCAGCTGCTGCCCGGCCTCGGCCTCACGCCCGTCGGTGATGTTTCCATTTGCGCCCTCTGGGCGGATTGTGTCCTCGTCGGCCTCTTCTCCGCTGGGGCTACATGCCTATGGTGGACTCGGAGTTGATCAGACCAGGAATGACACCATGGGAAATCTTGCATCTACACGGTGGAAGAAGTTTGGAAGGAGCACGAACATTAACCCCTCCTCCCAAGGAACGGGAGGCCTCGGCTTCAGCGAGCATACTTAAGGGGGCTATGGTTGTCGAGTAAGAACACCTTAAACCCCGGGATTCCCCCTGTTTGAGTCAAGACCCGTAGTGATCATGAACCCTGCGCTGCCATTTGTTAGCACGCTGGAGGCAAGTAAGAAGAACACGTGTGTGAGTGGGGCGAAAAACGGGCTCCCCTTGTGGATGCTACCCGCCCGAAGCCTTCTGATGGGGATAACTAGGCGTCGTAATAACTAGGCCCTTATGACGATGAACCCTGATGCCCTCGCGGTCATCCTTGCAGCCCAGAGAGAAGATGTGGTGCAGACCGCTGGCCACGGCGGGGTCCGGGAGACAACACGTTAATGAACCGGAAAATTCCATGGAAGGAGAGGATCAGGAGGAGGAGGTGCTCGCTGAGGATGATATGGAGGAAGCCCGAGTTATCCCATAGTAGGAGCACTCGTGGACGATTACCATGCTGGTTTACTCCCTATAATGCCCAACCCCTCATACATTGTTTGATGATTGGGAGGATGCTTGGAAGCTCCATGAGGATATGAAATATACTTTCCTGGAGGAAGCAAGTACTTTTGTTCACTTCTATTGTGAGGCAGATATGACGAGGACCTTGCGAGGAGGGTCGTGGAAATCCAGGCATGACCCATTGATCGTTGAAGTGTATGATGGGATGAATACGGTCTCTGACTACAGGTGGGCTTGCTTAGAATTTGGCTGCAAATCTTAGACGTGCCCATGAATTGGAGCACAAACGATGTGGTGTGTGCCCTATGCAAGAATCTAGGGACCGTGCTCTAGGTGGAACTCAAGGAGGCGTACAGTATGGGGAGTTTTCTTAGGGCCTAGCCTATGGACTCCTGGTAGTACCAGCACATTCGTATAAGGGGACAAGGCGTCTAGGAAGCCGGATGGCAACGTAGCTTCAAAAAATAACAAGAGGGAGGCTGCTTCCCGACAGCGTGGTAACACGGCCGTAGCCGAGTATCTTGCCGATAAGATGCAGAGTATGACCGCGTCTAGGGACGGGGTTGCGTAGGGGCAAGGGATGGTATTGACATGGAGGGTCCGAGGAGCTCCTACATCATCCCACCAATGCAGAATATTTTGGCTAATGCATGAGAGGAGGATGCAGACATGTCGGGCGTGAACTCAACTCTTAGCAAGCGTGGCGCATGCGACCAACATATGTCCTGCTCCTGGGGGGATGATCAGGGTGCTACTCTGATTGTGCACTCTAATGCTACTGACATGGTGGAGCCAGTCTATGCAGGTGCTCCATAAAAACAGAGAGAAAAATGCATCGGCAAGGGGAGAGCAGGAAAAAGGGATGGTGGGTGGTGGAAAGATCGCGTCAGAAGGCGAGGTCAAGATCACTCCAACGGGAAATCGACCTAGTGGCCCCAAGTAACACGATGGGGCCATAGGTGGTGCCTCATAGGAGCAACTGATATTTTAGAGGGGGGGGGAGCCCTAGGATGACCCATGACCTTTAGATCTTAGCGCAAGCGAACTCCCCCAACATTGTATTTATTTGTGAGACTAGGCAATCTAAAGATATGATGAAAAATATATCAATCTCCTTTAGGTTAGAGTGGATTTGAAGCAATATGTAGTGTTTGTCGAAGTGGAGTTTCAACACTCTTTTGGAATGAACTCTTGAGTCTCAATGTAAAATCTATGACCGATAGATATATTGACGTATATGTGTGTGTGTCTGCTGATGATCCCCCTTGGAGGCTCATGTGTTTGTATGACAAGCCTTGCACAGACGACCGTCATCTCATCTGATCCCTACTGAGTGATCTACAGCACCTTGCAAACATGTCATGGGTTGTGACCAAAGCTTACAGTGAAGCTATCTAGGGCTTCAAGCACTTCTCCTAGTCCCACGATCAACTGGTCAGATGGTTGCTTTTCATGACATTCTTGAGTTTGTGTGATCTTTGTTTTTCAAAGCTACTTATACTTATGATAACAGTCATGCCAAGAGTGCAAATATAAAAGTCTGGTTGGACTAGGTGGTGGCCAACAATCAAAAGTGAGTCTTTGTTGAGGCGTCCGTCAAACGTCTAGATGCACCTAGCTTAGACCATGCCCCATTCTCCTCAAGTCACCAACATAGAAGCGTAGAAGACCAGGAATGTTGGGCGAGGTGAACAATACAACGTCATTCCTAGGGTTTGGTCATGGAACCCGAAAGGGAAGGTAAATGGACAAAAAAAGGCTAATGTGGTGCCTGAGAATCCATATACATAGCGATGGGAAAGTCTATGCTATGAGGTACTCACAACCCACATGCAATTTGAAGAGGGAAACCGCCTGTGCTGGTGAGAAATTAGAGGTGATTTTATAGTACCAACCGCCTCCAATCTTTCTTGCTGATGGTTTCAAAATCCTAACCTCCTTTGGCTCTCCGTAACAAGAATAACCCCCTTCGGTAGGGGGTATTACATGCGGGTTTGATCTCTTGGGTCACAACCTCTTCTTGGGGGCACTAATGCTCGTTTACGTACTAGTGCTCAACCCTGATAACAACTTCATCGAGTTGTCGCAGCTGGTCCCATAGTGGACACCATTGAAAGATGCTCCTCCGTGGATGCCTGCAACCTGTTCAGATAGCCCCTATGCCCAAAGCTTGATGGTATCCGAAGATATGCTGATGACTATCGTCAACGATGGTCACTCGTTCAGAGGGGTGGAAAATTAGAACTTGTCAGTGCCCAAGGCAGAAGCAAAGAAATTTAAAAGAGGAGACACACACACCATCAATGAGGACGGATTATTGTTCTTGGCTTGATTGGGCACATGGGTTGATCCTTTTCCAGTGGCGGGCAAGGGGGGCTTCTTGGAGTAAGGTGCATGAATTCTCTCATGAAATGAAAAACTACACACCATATGATTTGGCAAGAATCAATGATCGGAGTGAGAACTCCCTCAATCATCGGTGCTATGCCATCAAAGAATAAGTGAACACGTATTGCGGTGCATATGCCCAAATGAAGAATTGTGCACCAAGTGGAAGCTTCCTAAAAATTCATCATATGGTTTATTTGCTATATCTTGCAATGTGTTCATCGTGTGATTCATTTTGCTAACCCAATTTGGCGTTGGCGTTGTACAGGTACACCGATGGCAAGACATTCACCATGCATCATTGTGGGATCAAGGTGAATGACTTGGCCAATTCAATCAAGATTTCCAATGCCAAAAGTGACGCAACCTCTCTCAATGGAAGAAGTTGGTGAAATAAACGTATGGGAGGGGGCGTGGGGTCGGAGGGCTTTCACCGGCAACCCATGTGCCAATGGCTAGGGGAAAATGGGGCCACGAGAGGCCAAAGCGCAATGGGGTGGCTAACCAAATGGTAGATAAGTGGGAGGATATAATGGAAAGGAGGCAGCAAGTGCCAAACGAAATTAACTCAATGAAGTGAAGAATATGAGAGGTTTAAAGAGTTCATAGAGATGTAAACAAAGAAGGTTGATATTGAGGACACATGCTTGCACTTCAGACGATGTGCGAGGAGTCCAAGGTCATGTACATCAAGGCCGAGGACTTGGATGCCGATGCGGTGGTGTGGGTCCACATGTTTGTAGTGGCATCATTGCACACTTTGAAAATGACGATGTGCAATGATTCATTTGATTGCTTTTGTTTGAATTGTTGGGTCCGAATTATGAACTTTGTTTGAATTATTTGACATGCACAGTTTATCTTCCAATTGTTTGGAAGTGCTATATGTATCGTGAATTTCCTTTTATTGTTGCAAATGGATGAAATTCGACTTAACAAAAAAACAAAAGGGAGAGGGGCTGACAAGCATGATAATTTTGGGTACTAGTATTAGTTGACTGGGCTTCAACCGGCTGTCCGCGGATATGTATGGACATGTCCACTAAAAAATAGGGCGTTGGTTCAGATTTTATCATTGGAGATGTCCTAAGGCATGACCAAGCTATCCTCTCATGCATGCTCTAGCCCCTTAGACATGCTACACCCTCATCATGTCTCTTTTCTCTTCTCTTCCTTGATCTTTCTAGCAACCAGAACACAACGTATATTGCAGCAAAAAAACAATGTTGCTCTAGTGGATTTTTCT